AGCTCCTCTGACCTAATCAGCCTCAAATTCTTATCCAATCTCAAGTACAAACCGGATAGCATGATGGAGGTCTCCCACACCCTTGTTAGGTTTGGGGGAGGACTTGTGCACCCAGTCGGACGCATTGACTTACCTGTCCGCCTGGGAAGCAGGGGAGACGGTCGGCACATGACCATCCGTTTCCTCGTGATTGAATAGCTCACAGCTTACAACCTCATCTTTGGCCGTCCCACTCTTAACGAGTGTAAGGTCGTCATCATCCCTGCACTCATGCTGATGGTGGTGGTCAAGAAAGAAAAACAATAACAATCACTGATCGGGGAGCGGTCGGATGATCTCCGTCCCCAGCCTGCTGGTGAGCACATTGATATCCCTCTAGACGACAGCCGCCCAGAGCGGACGGTTAAGGTGGGGACGGTTGCACTTGCAGAGTTGGGTGAAAGCCTTCGTCAGCTGCTGAGAGAATTCAAAGACATCTTTGCCTTTGAAGTGGAGGAGATGTCAGGCATCAGCCCGGATCTTGCTGTCCACAAATTCGCCGTGGATTCTAAAAAGAAGCCTATCCGGCAAAAGAAAAGAAACCACGGCGAAGAAAGAAGTCAGGCGGCTGCTGCCGAAGTAAAAAAGCTGCTGGATGTCAAGTTCATTCGGCCGTGCAATTTCCCTGAATAGGTAGCTAACGTTGTGTTAGTAAAAAAGCCGAATGGAACTCGGCGGATGTGTGTTGACTACACAGACCTCAACAAGGCAAGTACAAAGGATAGTTATCCATTGCCCAAGAACGACAGTCTGGTCGATTAAACAGCCGGACATGCCTTGATGAGCTTTATGGACGCCTATTCAAGTTTCCATCAGATCCCCCTGAGGAGAAAAGATCAAGAAAAGGCGGCATTCGTCACTGATCAGGGGTTGTTCTGTTATATGGTGATGCCGTTTGGTTTGAAGAATGCGCCTGCTACTTTCTAACGAATGATTAATACGGTTTTATTTAATCAAATCGGAAGGAATGTAGAGGCGTACATTGATGACATGATAGTCAAATCCAAACATAAGGCGGATCATCTTGCTGATCTCCGAGAAACATTCGCCACACTCAGGCGGCACAAGGTCATGCTAAATCCAAAAAAGTGTGGCTTTGGTGTTGAGTCTGGGAAGTTTCTCGGATTTTTGATTGACCAAAGGGGAATAGAGGCCAACCTTGAGAAAATACAGGCGGTAATCGACATGAAGTCGCCCCGTACTGTGAAGGAAGTGCAAAAGCTAAAAGGTTGTCTGGCGGCCTTGGGGAGATTCCTCAGTCGGTTAGGCGACAAGTGTCTCTACTTTTTCCAGGCGATCAAAAAGAAGACCAACTTTGAATGGGGGGATGATGCAGAGGCGGCCTTTCAAAAGCTGAAAACTCATTTGCACTCTTTGCCAAGGCTTGTCAGCCCTTTGCCCAAAGAGAAGCTCTTTATGTACTTAGCCGTCTCTAATCATGCCCTCAGTGCCGTTCTCTTAGCTGAAAGAGACGACATTCAGCTCCCGGTGTATTTCATTAGCCATGTTCTGAGAAACGCGGAGCTTCGGTACCCCATGGTTGAGAAATTCGGCCTTTACATGGCCATCAAGAAGCTAAAACCCTACTTCTTGGCGCATGCGGTAGAAGTCTATACTGACCAACCGATTAAACGGCCACTCACAACCTTGGAGTCTTCTAGACGAATGCCTAAATGGGCTATTGAAATGCAAGGATTAGAAATCACTTTCGAACCAAGGAAGGCAATAAAGGGGCAAGTATTCGCCGACTTTTTTGTTGAAATGACAAGGCCGGCTATACCGGACAATACAGACCAGGTTTGGAAAGTGTATGTAGATGGGAGCTCCATTGTGAACGGCTGTGGTGCAGGGATTATCTGTCAATTAACTAAGGGAGATAAGTACGAATACGCACTACGGTTCAAGTTCCAAGTCTCTAACAATGAGGCCGAGTATGAGGCCCTGCTGGCCGGCATTCGGTACTGCAAGGCGGCAGGGGCAAAGAAGATAGTCGCCTGCTCTGATTCTCAACTGGTCGTACTCCAGGTTAATGGAACGTACGAGGCCACTCATCCGGCCATGATAAAATATTTGCAGGCGGTCAAGAGTGAAGTTGGGACACTTGAAGAATTCCATTTAACCCAAGTGTACAGGTCTTCAAATAATCACGCGGATGCTCTGTCAAAACTAGCATCATCCGCCTCTTGTGAAACGCCTCGGTCGGTCTTCTAGGAGGTCATGGAAAAGAGAAGTATATTTAATGAAGACCCCATTGGAATTCTCGACCAAAGCTCCATCTGGATGGACAGCATCCGGGCTTATCTTGAAGACGGCACGCTACCTGATTCACCCCAGGAGGCGGCTGCTCTAAAAAAGAAAGCGGCAAACTTCGAGCTGAGACAAGGAGAACTCTTCAAAGCTAGTTTCTTGAAACCCCTATGAAGTGTGTTACCCCAGAAAAGGGTGGAGAGGTCCTCGAAGATTTGCATGCGGGTTTCTGCGCCTCCCACATAGGCGACAGGTCTTTAGCTGCCAAGGCCAGGCGGCTCTATTTCTGGCCAACTCTGGAGTCGGACGCTATGGAAATGGTCAAAAACTGTGACAAGTGTCAAAGGTTTGGCAAGCTCATCCATCGTCCGGCCACAGACCTAACGGCCATCCGCAGCCTAATTCCCTTTGCCAAATGGGGCATGGACATACTTGGGCCTTACACTGCGACCCCATGAGGCAAGCGCTACATATTGGTAGCTTTGGATTACTTTACCAAGTGGGTAGAGGCGGAGGAGGTCAAAAACATCAAGACAAAAGATGTCATTTCCTTCATCTGGAGGAATATTATCACTCGTTTCGGGTGCCCATGTCTATGGTTTTTGACAATGGTCCTCAATTTGAGACGCCTCAACTCAAGGCTTGGCTAGGAGATCAAGGGGTCTCAAGCCTCTTTGCATCAGTCGGCCGGCCCCAAGAAAACGGCCAAGTTGAAGCCTTCAATAAGCTAATCTTAGACGGGATTAAAAGGAAAATTGAACGGGCAGGTGGCCTTTGGGCGGATGAACTACCACACGTCCTCTGGTCCATCAGAACGACTGCTAAAGGGGCGACTGGAGAAACCCCGTTCCTCATGGTGTATGGTGCAGAAGCTGTCCTGCCCATTGAACACTATGAGCCGACTCTTCGAGTCATGTTATATGACGAAGAAGCTAATTGGGAGGCCATGCGGCTAGAATTGGACTCACTTCCAGAGCGCAGGGGCAATGGCACCTTGCGCCATGAGATTTATCGTCTGAGAATGACACGGGCTTACAACAAAAGAGTACACAAGCGTCCTCTCAAAGTGGGGGACTTTGTGCTACGGAAAATGGAGGCAATCGGTAGGGAGAATGAGAAGGGAAAGTTGACCCCAAATTGGGAAGGTCCCTACCAAATATATGAGGAAGTAAGAGACGGCACCTACCGCCTGGAAGAACCAGACGGCAGGCAGCTGCCTAAAACTTGGAATGTGGACAACTTGAAAAAGTACCATTTCTAAGTACAAATGTAAATACCTCAAATTTTGTCATTTCAAATTTTGCTAATGAGAATATGCCTTCATTTTCCAACCTTGTCTTTTTATTTTAAATATCGCCTGTACAAAGTACAGATGACCAATGTATTTGGGTAAAGTCTGTCCCAATAACAGACGCCCCAACCTTTATGAAGGAACCGACTACTCTAGAGCAGTCGTTCCTACAAAATTCTTACTGGATTATGTTAAACACTTAACGAATATTTGCTTAAATCATTTTGAGGCCAATGGCCGGATATTAAGAAAAACGCATAGAGGCCGAATGGTCACAGTCTGCTCCAATATGAGTATGACCGTCTGCTCCAACATGAGTCAGATAACCGGCGACGCCTATTCGGGCGAATTCGTCGAGGAGAAGCATCTCTCATTTGGGTGGCACATTGCTCTACAAATATATCAAGCGGCCCTACCGAATGCTAAGGTAGAATTCGCAGTCGTTTGGTTTAATCGAAAGTGAAATCCAAGAGGCCAAGAATTTTCTAAATGTTCTAACACAGTCGGAAAAAGGGGTAACTATTTCACAAGTAGAAACTATTGAGGCATTAGGCCGGATGCACCTGTTTTTGCTCTAAGGCAAGACAGGCGGAAAACTTTTACTGATCTACAAGTCACCTAATGAGGCCTTTGGCCAGATACCCCTGTTTCTGTCCGAACGCAGAATAGGCGGACTCTTACTTACGAGAAAACGAGCTAAAACACTTAGCAGATTAAAAAAAAAGAGACTTGTGGGTCGAATGCGCCTGTTCTTTGCTCTTGGGGCAAGACAGGCGGATTATTCTAAAAAAAATCAAGACTAAGTTAAAACTTAGCAACTTATCTCATCAAGGCCTAAGGCCGAATGCGCCTGCTTTTAGTTCTTGGAACAAAATAGGCGAGGGATTTCTTTTTAGCAAAATTTGCTAAGTCAAAAATATTGTATTTTGCTTGAGCTAATGGCTGAATGAAATTTGCTTGAGCCAATGGCTGAATGAAAATAATTATTCATTCGCTCCTGATGGCCGCCTGTCGCATGGTTTGGGGCAATCACCATAGTGATTGATTGACTTAGAAACCTTGTATACTCTTCTAAGTATCAATAATTTCTAAGCCAATCAATCCACTCAACCGAAACCACTCGGCATCCGTCCAGGGGCAAGAACAATCGCATGCTACATAGGTTATAATACTTACCCAAAAAACATGCAATGAAAAAATTTAAAGAACAGCAATATGAATAACTTCAGCCAATGGCCGAATGATTTTAAACTAAAAAGGCCCAATCGCCATCAGACGATTGGGTAAGATTGTTAGTTGGCAAAGCCAGGGGAATTGTCAAATCACCCGACCCCTCAGTCGGTAAAGATACATGGATACTCGGCACGCAGGCCGGAAGATGAAATTAATGGCCATTTGGCCGCATACATAACTACTAAAAGCTTTAAGGGGCAGAGATATTGCCAGCATTGGCAGCAGCATCATCAGTTGTCGGCTGCTCTTCATTGTCATCACCATCCTCTTCCCCGTCTTCATCCCTGGAGGAGCCTGAAGAGGAGTCGGCCTCTTCACCATCCGCATCCTCCTCTTTTGCCCGGCGAAGGAGTTCAGCATTGTAATCCTCGTTTGCCTGATCAAACTTGGATTTCCAGATGCCAAAATCAGCACCCGGCTGCACCGTCTCCCATGTCGCCCGCATGATGGATTCGTAGTCTTGGCCTATTTCTCCTCCTCAACCCGGCACTCAAACTTGGCCTTCAGCTGCTACTCCTGGTTTGCCAGGCGCCCCTCTAGGCGGCTCACCTGCTCCTTGGCCCTCTCGGCCTCATTCTTGACCTCTTGAAGAGGCTCAAGTTTTTCCTTAAGGTCTTTAACCTCGACCTTAAGTTCATTGACTTTGGAGCGGGCCGAATCCAGATCCTTCTTCACCTGCAAGTTGGCGTCCGCTTGGGAATACATCATATCAAGGGTCAGAAGCTCATTTTGATCAATTTCAAATTGAGCTCGGTCTAAGGCGGACTCGGCCCGAGCTTTAGCGGTTGTTACCTCTTTTGATTTATCCTGGATTGGTCGTTTGAGCCCTTGGACGCACAGCATGGCCTAGAAAAAAGAAAAGACCGAATGGTCAAAACCAGTCGGATATGTGTTAAATATTATGGAAAATTTAGCCAACTCTTTTACCTCGCAGAGGTTCCCCAAGATGGCGTCCAAGTTAAGGGTGCCGACTCCTCTTACGGACGCCCTGTCCTCAGGATCAAGCGACCGTAGCATCTCCTTGGCCATCTAGACGACGGTCGGCCTTTGTGGGGGGGCTGCAAAATGATAAGTTAGTCAAATTCCAAGAAGCAACATTAAGCATTGAAGTTTAATAAAGATGCGGCCCATACCGTCTGGCTGGGCCTCCTCCTCCTTCTCCTTCCCCTGACATCTCTTCTCTCCTGTTGAGCCGACATCAGTGATGGGTTGCTTAAAGCCACCCTTTGATGCCTAAGTAGCATCCGGTTTGCTGACCTCCCTGCCAGCTTCGAGAGTAGAGTCGTCCCCTCTCTTGGAATTTTAAGCAATGTGTTTCCGGTTTTTGCCGGATGCACTCACATCACCCGCCCCAATTTTTTGAATTTTGAGTTGGGATTGTTTGGAGGGAGAAGGCCTAACAGAACCACTCTATTTGGACGAAAAGAAAGGCGTCAGAAAAGCAGGCGGACAAAATTTAACCTTTGTTGAAAAATATTCCAAGTATCATAAACATCTACCTTGGGAGTTCCGGCTGCTTTCTGCTTGTCATTCGCCCTGTTAAGGACGTTGATGCGGTACTTTGCTGCAGAGACGGCAGACGGCTTCTTTGTTGCCGAGAGCTTTTCCATTGCTTTGTCTGCACCAAAAAGAGGGAGTTAGGCTTATTAAGCATACAGTAGAAACAATTTTAAGTTTACTTAAAGACAGACGACCGACTACCTCTCGCCATCTCAGAACTTAGACCACAAGCGGCGAAGAACACCCCATCTTCTAGCCACTTGTAAAGGGGAATGTAGCTCTAGGGGACGACTATTTTCTCCCCATGCTCGATTTTCCGAACAGACACTGCAAACAGACCCCGGTCAAAAATTTCCTCCTAGGCCCGCCTAGGGAGAGGGGGCAAGGCACTCTTGCCAGCCAGAAGGGGCGGATCCTTGTTCCACCAATTGTATTTTTGGTTCAGTCGGCTTTCAAGGGAATGGAAAATGTAGAACTTAGTTCTCCAGTCCTTCCATTTGTTTTCTTTGCCGACTGCCATCATGTACCCCTTGCAGGTGGTCAAGGTGTACCAGCCTTCGCCACCCTTGGCAGGCGCTCGGCTGAGATAGTGCATTTGGGCGAATGCCTCAAAGTTGGGATCCACCTCCAGCATTTCTGATGCCGCAACGTACCCGATGATATTTATCCATGAATTCGGGACAAGTTGCCAAATACCAAGTTGGTATCCATCCAGTATCCTCTCCACGGCCGGATGGAGAGGGAAGCGTAAGCCAGCCTGAAGGACCGCCTCGTAGCAGCCGAAGGCTTTGTCCTTATAAATTGCCAGGGAGGGCCAGGTTATTGTATCCTCCTTGTTGGGGACGGATAAGGAGAAGCCATGTCCCATTACGGCCTTGCGCCTATAATTGGCCAGATCGGATGTCTTGGAGGCCCGCTGCTCTTTGGGACATGGTGAAAATAAGGGGCGCGCTCCAAGCGCCTGGAAGCACTCGGCTCTGCCCAGCCTTCCCCCTTTTCTACTAACAAGGACTCCCTTGCAGTATCTATTTTTGCTCGGACCTCCTCTGACTCAACAGAGGCGCTATTAGAGGATGACGAGGCCGAATCGTCATCAGAACTTTCCCCAGAGCTAAGGGACTGCCGGCTAGGGCCAGCAGGGTCCTCCCCTATATTCTCCTCCGACGCCTGTTCTGAAGGCTCGGACTGGTATTGACTGTCGGCTTCCCACAGTATAGTATCATTGGGGGTGCCGTTTGAAGAAGGGGGAGAATAGTATGTTAGAGTTTGGGAAAGGTCAGAAGAAGGGTTTGGGGGGTGCTCAGAAATTTCACTAACTAGCAGCCTAATGGAGCCGCCTGAAGTTGGAGTCTCACTGTCCGAATGGTAAAAGGAACCATCCGGCCTATATCTCCTTGATGTCTGCTTTATTCGAGCCATTGTGTCCTGTAGATGCACATACACTATCGGATTTGGAGATGCACTTAAAGGAAAGTTTTCGAACGAGCATTCGGCACTCCTAGTTCTAGATTCAGCCGTCCCCGGTGACCGGCTTATCGCTAACCTCGGCCATACCGTGTACGTTTGGGAAACCATTTTTATAAACGAAAAACACAAGAAAAAATAAAAGAAAAGAGCATGCGGTTACCTTAGAAAAAGGTATTTGAGACGCCTGGTTGCCTGAAGCAGTCGGTAGGAAAGGCCGAGTGTCGGATGCTTGACAAAAGTCAGGGTCTTTAAGAGTCTTTGAGAGTCAAAATTCCAGAGATTCTCTAAGATTCGCAAAGGTGTGAAAACAAAAATGAAGTCAAACCTTCCTATTTATAGAAAGGGGAAACCCTAATTTTTCCCCCCAAAATACAATTTGAAAATTCAGCCAGTCAGATGAAGACACCTGTCACAGGTGCCACGTGCAATACACGTAACCCCTGTGAGGGGCAAATGATTTCGGTATTTTATACCCTGCCAAGTGGCCCAATCAGAGCATGACACGTGTCACTGGAAGGGGTACCTACTTGGACCTTCCAGATGGTGACACGTGTCGAGCAGATATTGCCCCCTGGGAATGGCGGCTTTCAAGGCCCGAATCCTAAGGGGCGCTTAAAAAACGGCGTGCCCTAATCCCTAGGTCACCAGATCCTAGGTAGGGCACACTTTCCAAAAGGAGCCAATAAATAGGGACATCCTTACATTAATGACAAGACAGAAATACATACACAGAAAAAGAGAGAGAATATTCACGCACTACGAGAAAATATGTCACTTACTACAGAGTTGTCATTCTCAAAGAACAGACATCACTTTTACTTGAGCTTGGAATCCAAGCAGATAACTTTACTTACGCACTTTTTATTACCGAACGTTTACTAACTTAATCTTCGGAGGCGGACCACCGACCATTCGGCGGTCCGTTTGCTTTGCAGGTACAGGCGCCCGTTGTTGAACCCAGTTTCAGTGTTGTAACTCTCCCAAGGGACAAAAACCCCTGAAACAATATATATATATATAGTAATCGAAAAATTAATCTGTTTATCCACTTAGTTTTGGGTACACTTGTTTGTTTAATCGATATTAAAATTATACATAGTAATACGGTAAATTAAAATACCCTTTAAAAGTTTCTCTCAAAAAAAGTGGGAAAAGGAAGATGATGATCAAGCTAAGTAGCTAAGGGAAAAAGAAAGGAGTCAAACAATATATAAAGCTTAAAGTCTTAGGGTAGTTTGAGGTTAACTATTATAAAAGAACTTTTCATACGTAAGTCATTAAGTTTCTTTTCATTCACGTCGATGCATTATGCATGAACATGTATCATAGAAGCATTTGATTTGTACGAATTAACAACGGTAGAGTTTTGCATATTCTATCTTGATGTTGTTTCAATAGTTATATGCTGATCGAGTAGATTGCATGATCATAGAAGCTACATGTCTACATATCCTTTTTTCGAGTATTTTTCTTTAATCTATTCCGAGTATTTTAGCTTTACGTTTTAAATTGGAGCAAAGTAATAAAAATGAATACTTTATAAATTTTAGGCCAAGCTTAATAATCAGGTGTATTTCTTTCAAGAACGGAAGTGAAAAAAAAATGAATTTAACGAATAACTAATTAACTAACTACTCAAAATACTACGGGTTGTATAAAAATAAAGGTTTCTAAATTTTTTTAGTATTGTATTTAGTATTGTGTAATAATTATTTCTCTAAAACCGCAAAAAAATCAAAAAATTAATCTGTTTATCCACTTAGTTTTAGGTACACTTGTTCGTTAAATCTATATTATACGTAGTAATACGGTATGTTGTTATTTTATATTATCAAACATGAATAGAGTTGATAAAAGATATGCCTAATCCATTATTATACAAAAATGAAAGTTTTTGATTAAAAAAAACCATAGAACAAAAAGAAGATGAAAGACAAAAGATGAGGGTACATTTATAAGAGATGTACCACGCAAGAGATGTACCAAAATTAACCAATCAAGAAGTAAATTGAGCAATAATGACGAAATGTTGAATGATTTTAGGCTTTATGACTTCCAAAGTACAACTTTTTATTTTTTCTAAACCAATATATATATATATATATATATATATATATATATATATATATATATATATATTGGTTTAGAAAAAATAAAAAGTATGTACATTCAAAAATAATTAAAATTAAAATTAACTTTTTGTAAATTGGGTTCAATCATTATCGTTTAAGGTTAAATACCGGTTGTATAAAAATAAAGGTTTCTAATTTTTAATTTAGTATTGTATTTAGTATTGTGTAATAATTATTTCTCTAAAACAGCTCAAAAATTCGAAAAATTAATTTGTTTATCCACTTAGTTTTAGGTACACTTGTTCGTTTAATCGATATTAAAATTATACGAAGTAATACGGTAAGCTGTTATTCTATATTATCAAATATAATTGGAGTTGATAAAAGACTTTTATTAAGCATGTGTAGATTTTATTTTACTTTCTTTTGGAATCAAACCTTTTTCTTGAAAAAATATTTATAATTAACTTAACCTTGGGAATATATGTAATTAAAACACCTTGGAATTGTGGACATATATATTGTGAAGGTTACTTATAGAAGTGATACTTTGTACATTCTTATATTTGAAGGTGATTATTGTTTGAAAAGAGATCTTTACGTACAAATTATTTCTAAGCATTTTTGTATTATTTTTTTTGTCCAAAAATTTATATAAGGATGCGAGAGCCAAAGGATCTTGATGCTGCTATTGCTAAGTATGAGGATTTCTGCGTTGTGCATAGCCGTATCATGGAGATCGCTAAAGATGGAGGTTTACGAAAAAACGGTTGAAGTTTATGCAATTCTGAGAAATGCGTCTGAAGGTGTGGAAGAAGTTGTTGCTCAAGCACCCTATGTGGTTCCTAAATTTGTGAGGTTTTTAGATCGAGTAGAGAAAACGGCTGCTAAAGGTGCTATTCAGATTGAACAACTAAAAGAGGATAAAGAAAAGAAAAAGAATGAATTGGATGAGGTTTTGAAGAAGCATGAGAAAAGGGCTAATAGGAAAAGGCGAGATGAAATAAGTTGTAAATCTCAGTTGGTTTGTCAACCAAATCAAATTGTTGAATATAAATATTAAAATCATTATTAGCAATTTTAATTGGATTTATTTTGCATCTTTATTGAGTATGAATTGTGATTTAATATTAACTTTTGTAATTAATAATTAAATTTTATGATTTCCTACATTTTTTAAGCAATTCTTTTTCGTTATATTTGTATATTATTATTATGTACATACAAGTACTCGATTGATAATCAATTATTGTAGATGAGAAGCCACTAACAAATCATTATGAAAAAGTAGGGCATCGCTATTATCTACTAGTTTGAGTACTCAATCGTGCTCAACCACAACGTTAGCAAAGACATTTGTTGAGCTCATAGCCTGAAATGGTACAAAAGAACATGTCAAGTTCATTTTTTGGATATTGCATCATAACATACTAAATGAAAATTGAATTAGAGTCCCATTAAAAGGTTATATTACTTTAAGACAAGTAAGATAGCTCTTTTTCAATTCAAGTACAAGTATATATTAGGTATATAACATTATGTACCCTTTATAATTGGAAAAAAACCTTAATATATATATATATATTCAACAAGTCATTAGTTCTTTGAAATAAGGAGGATCATGCTGGATTCACATAATTAACGTTCACGGTAATTTAATACCATTGTTTCT